GGATGCTCTGTAGGCTGCTGGGAGGGATTAGGGTGGGTGGTTGTGGAGAGGGGGCTGGAGCCCTGTGCTCTGGCTGGTGGAGGATGGTGCCCACCCCATCCATCATTTGGCAGCCACTGGCCCTCGGGCTGACATGGCCATTAAGGCCTGAGACCCAAGTACTCAATCTCTTCCGAACCGTCACCCCCAACCTTGCCTTTGCCCCTGGCCCAGCTCCTCTCAGAACCCAGGATTGGGAGCAGCAGCTGGGGGCAGGGGAGGGACAAGCCCTTGGGAACATACAGAGAAATGCACAAACATGGGACGCTCCAGCAGGAGGCCACACAGAACCACTAGGACGGAGACACCTAGAGTCATAAGAGCAGTGTAGTGTGGCACCCATGTAAACTGATGGGCTCTCCAGGGGCCCTTAGCCATGCTCTGTCCCCCATCCCCCTTCCCTGCCTTGATACCCTCACTGTCCTCTCTGTTCTGCTAATAGCAGGGACAAAATCAGAGCAAGTGGCCCAGTAGAGCAAGGAGAAAGAGCTCTTCCAGAATGAAAGAGAAATTGGGAGCTGCTACCTTGGAAAAGGAACTAAAGAAATAATCCAATCTCTTCCAGCAGTTCCTCTAATCTACTACCTATTAAGGCCCTCCTCCACCTATTTATTGAGTCAGAGACACCATGTGGTTGTGGGGTCTGCCAAGGCCAAAAGGGAATCAAAGGAGGAAGGAACCCTGGCTGACTTCCACCTTCTGATTGCTGTGTGGCCCAGACCAAGTCTGACCTCTCTGAGCCTAGGGTCTTCACCCTTACATACAGGGCAGGTGGAGAAGGGAATGGTCATTATTGGTACTTACTCTGCTAGGTGCTTTGTGTGTGCTATTTTATTTACTCCTCACAAGACTCTGAGAGGCTGCAATTAATTATTTCTACAAACAAAGATACTGAGGTTTAGGGAGTTTAAGACTCATGTCAAAGATCAGTGGTGGATACCAACCATGTCCTGTTTGGCTGAAATCTATGTTCCTCTCAAGGAGTTGTGGCTTTGGGGATAAGTAGAGACCCCAGACTGTGAAAACAGCTCAGCATACTGAAGTCCCCCATCTGCATCACAGTCTGTGTGCACAGACCCCTGAGATAGTGCAACCTCTGTCACTTGGAGAAGGAAGTTCAGGCCGCCTTCTTCTTGCAAACCACAGCCATCCCAGGCATAGCCTTCTTCCTGAGGATGTCTCAGCCACTCCTTGGGAAGCCGTTGGGGGAGGTGGAGGAAGATACAGGATTCAGGTCTTGACTCTGACCTGGGTAAACCCTCTAACTCTCTGACCCTCAGTCTCCCGTCTGTAAAATCAGGACAATAACTATGTCCCACAGTTCTCGTATGAAGGGATCTTGGTGCCTACAGAGACAATAAATGTTACTGAGTGTCTGCTTTGGGCCAGGTGCTAGGCTAAGGGCTTTAAAATGGAAGGTCAGAGAAGTGGGACCATTGGCTGCCTTCCTAGCATGGCTGTAAGCCCAGCTGAGGGTCTGGCCCCAATTAGGTGCTGGGCACATGGCGGCACATGGCAGCCGTTTTTGCTGTGTCTCCAGGAAGGAGGCCCTGCCCTGAGGGAACTCTCCGTCTACAAGGGAATGAATACAAAGACCATTACAGGTGTTGGGGGGAATGGCAATATGATGGTCCCCAGTGAGTAGCTCCTCCGCTTTTTAAGTCCTTACAAGACCCTCACCTGGTCCTTCTCTCCTCTCCCCTATGCCGAGAGGCCCGAACAGGTTTAGGACCCTAGTGTGTGGGGTGTTGGTGGATGTGGCTTGCTTCCTCCCCTTTCCTGCTGAGATCTGGAAGTCTGGAAGTCGAGGAAATGTTGGGGAGGGGGGCCATGGGGTGGCCTCAGCCTCTTTCTGGAGCTGCACCTTGCCTGGGCCTGGGGGGAGGGTGACATTAGGAGGGGCTGCACCCCAACAGGGGTCTCTGGATCTGTCTCCAGGAAGTTGAGAGGGAGGAGAAGACACCCCAGGACTTGAGGAGGGGTGTTAGGTGGTAGTGCTTGTGTTGTCTGGGGGCTTGCTGCCTGGGTTGGAACCTGCCCTGCCCGTCCAGCCTAGATTCTCAGCCCCTCCCCCGTGTCTCTCCTCCCCCTCCAGGTCCCGCTAGAGCGACATGATGGTGGAATCCGCCTCGGAGACAATCAGGTCGGCTCCGTCTGGTCAGAACGGTGTGGGCAGCCTCTCTGGGCAGGCCGATGGCAGTGGCAGCAGCAGCGGCGGCGGGGCTGGGGCTGCGGGCACTGCCGGAGGCGGTGCGGGCAGGGACGGCAGGGACGTGGCGGCCAGCGCAGACAGCAACGGCGAGATGAGCCCTGCGGAGCTGCTGCACTTTCAGCAGCAACAGGTAGGAGCTGGCGCCCCTCCCCAGCCCCCCAGGATGGGGAGAGGGGGCGCCAGGCCTCTTCCCACTACATCCTGGCCACCTGGGGGCCACTGCTCCCTGCTGAGCAGCTTCACTTTAACATGGGAGCCCCTCTGTGCCCTCCCATTCTAATGGTCGCTTTAAGGCAGTGCGGAGAGCAGCACCCCCAGAAAGAGAAATGGAGCTGGGGGGCCGTGAGATTGCGGAGCTTAGAAGAGTCTCAGAAATGCCCACAAGGGCAGACGGACGCCCAGGCAGCAGGCTTGAGGGTGTGTGTCTTGGGTGGCTGGGCACCTGGGCTCTCCTGTCTGCACACTGGCGAAGTTAACAAACAGGGCTGGGGGAGGGAGACCCTGCTCTAGGTATGTGCTCTTTGGGGGAGGGGGACTGTGCACACAGTGGTTTCTTCACTTTATTTGTATTGTAAAACATTCCCCACCTCCACCTCTGCCTGGGCCCCTGATCCAAGCTGTGAAGAGATTAAACTTCCAGGCACCGGAGTCAATGCAGCTGGGGAAAGGCCAAGAGCAGTAGGCAGAGGCAGGCCTCCATTTTTAGGGCTCAGATTGGGAACCCCCATCTGTGCCCTACTCCCTCTCTCCCCTCCATCATTCCCACCCTAAACTGCAGAGTTCAGGGGTTTAAGATGAGCCTTTCTGAGGATCCAGAGGCCTTAGGGTGGGGAGCCTAGTTGGGTTATGACAGAGCAGGGGCCCCAGGTCCCCGCCCCACCTGGGAAAAAGACAGAATCATGCTTGACAAGTTCAGGAGAACCGGCCCAGCCTGCCCTGGCCTTGCGATGCTCCTTGTCTTATTTGACTCTGCTCCTCGAATCACTGCTGGTGGTACTGCCCCTTGGGGGCTCTGCTGAGAATGCAGAAAAGTTGGGTCCTGCATGTACCTCCCCGCCCGTGCCCCACCCCTGCCTCGTGTGCACCGATGTGTGTGCTCACGCTGCCCTCATGCTCTCTCCCAGGTTTACCCTGGGGCTCCTCCCCTCACCCCATAGCTGCTAAGTGCTTTCCCACCACTCTCACAGCTACAGGTCAGACTGAAAGCAGCACCATCAGAAGCCGGGCACCTGCACTCTGCACTGAGCTGGTCAGCCAACACTAACTCAGGAACTGAACAAACCTAGGTGAAGCCCCAGCCTGCCTCTTATCAGCAGTCAACCTTGGCCAGGACTGGGCTTCCCTGAGGCCAATCCTTGGCCTCTTGGCACCTGAAGTACAGGGGTTGTTAGGGTCAGATGCAGTTTGGGTATGAAATCCCTATACACAGTACGGATGTGAACAGAACTGAGAACTTTGAAAAATCACTTCCTCTTGCAAACAGTGGAAGCTTGAGCAGAAAGGGTCTGTCTCCTTCCCCAGGGAGATGGTCCTTAGGAGTTTGATGGCATCTTCCAAACCCTCCTAAGCAGGTTCTCAGGGGGAAGAGACCCACGGGTGTGTGCCATATACTGTGGACCGAAGCTCAACGGGCAGAACCCCTACCCTTTATCAAAATAACAACAAAACACACCTCACCAGAAATCTCCAAGGGCACCCATTTTTTTATGGGTGAAACCTCGTCCCTTCCTGCACCTCTAGGTAGACGGCTATGAAAAATTTTGAATGTGGGGGGAGGGCTGGGGAGGAATCCTGAAACTGGAAAGTTTCTTTTAAAAAATTATTTAAAGGGAAAAGTGGACACAGATACCAGGTAACTGGGGAGATGGGTGGGGAGAGACAGAACTGTCTGTACCGATCAGGTTTCTCTGTTCTGCTTTGCACTCAGGCTGTGTTTTACCATCTCTATTCCACGTTTCAGTTATCCCTGTTTGTTTTGGTGAATATCCCAAAGTCCTGGAAAATCCTGTATCTGTTTCACAAATAAACTGGGGTGGAGATTTGGAGGCAGGCATAGGGAGGGCTGTTTTATCCATTTGGGCTCACGATGGGCGTAGTACCCGGGGCCAAGGAAAATATTTGAGACTTTGAAAAGGTCTTCTTGGCTCCATACTATGAAAAGAACCCTGCAAAATTAAAATTACAAAATTTTCAATTAAAAGAAAACAGTCTGTGGGCCATCCTTCCACCTCCAGTATATGAGTGAGGCTTTAAGGGAAGCTTCAGGGTAGCACTTTCTGGAACCACCCCCCCCCACCCCAAGAAAAAAATGTCTCTGACTCGGTGGGGTAGAGAGACTGGAGGAAAGAGAGCCTGGCCCAAGGGGCGCCTCCTCCCTCTCAGCCCCAACCAGGAAGTCCTTCAAGGACAAATAAATACCTCACCTCTGTTAGGTGCTTTGGGTCATCCACGTAGGCTGTGTCACTTAATCACCTCACTGTCCCTGGGAGATGGGTATCATTAGTCCCATGTTGCAGATGAGGGGCAGCCAGAGGTGGCACTGACTTGTCCAGGTGACACAGGAAAGGCTACAGCTAGACCATAGGTGTCCAGACTCCTAGTCCAGGGCTCAGCTCCCACCGCATTCACAGTCCCCAAGGGAACTGGAGGGAGCAAGGCCTGGCACCTAGTAGGTGCTAAATAAATGACTGCTGGGAGTGACTGAGAGCGCTGCCTCCCAACCCCAAAGCGCTCTTAAAACAAACCACCGGAAGCCGCACTGCCCGTGGCCCTAGCGGCCACTCCAGAGGCAGAGAGAGGGAGTGGGTCTGCCCTAGTCCCACCTCCTTGTGTCCACATGGCTCTTGAAGCCCCTCTTCCTCTGTCCGTCTGTCGGTCTGTTGGTCCCTGCCCGTCTGCTCTGGATAAACAAGCCCTGGAAATGCAGTCTTGGCCTTTGGGAGTAATGAGTTGACAGAGGAGAGAGAGAGGAACAGGGCGAGTCAGAAGTCAGGCTGGTGACAGGACTTTAGGCTGAAACAAACAGTGCTGAAGAGGGCAGCCACGTCACTTTGGAACAAGAGCAGGCGCCTGTTTCCACGCAACAGCAGTCCGGGAGCTTGTTTAAACAGAGGCAGGGGTGGGTGGACGGCCAGCTGCCAGGCCCTGTCTGACTAGAGGAGGGTCCCTGTCTGGCTGCCCTGTTTTAGCAGTCAAGGTCCCAGCTTCCTGCTCCCTCCTTCCAGCCCCGCTTTTGGTAGTGATGATGCCATACATACCACCTCACCTGGTCTCCCGCCTCATGGAGAATCTATCCTGAGAAGAAGTATGGGGGCTGCTGAGGGCCCTGGAACGTAACATTCACAAGGCAAACATACACCCTGCTGGCCAGCTGGAGTTGGTGATCTCTAGCTGCTGTTAAAGAATGCTCCAGACCCAACAGGACTGCCAGCCCCCCGTCAATCCCCTCCCTTCTTTCACCAGAAAAAGTCCCCTTCCTCAGCACCTCCCCATATTTCTCCTTTATGATCACTCTTTTCTTGGAAGGTTGTCCTTGCATTTTAACCTGATCCGATTTCACCGTATGAAAATGTTCCTAGTGTGTAGGGCCTTCCCCAGGGACTCCACAAGTACCCTTTGGGCTCCCTGGCCGGGGGCAGCCAGGGCTGGGAGAGGCGTGTGCCGGCTTTGGGGAGGTGAGGCGGAGGGCCTAGGGAGGTCTTGGGGACCAGGCTGAACGCTCGCTGGACTTGGGGCCAGGCGGGGTGGGGGCGGGCAGAGCTGCTGGCGGCTGGGCTGAAAGGCGTCCTGGGCCTCCAGAGCCTGCACTCCTATTGTCCTCGGATTGCGGGGGTGACAGGTCAGCGAGGGTCACAGGAGGGTTGCCTAGCGTCTGGGAACTCCCACCACAGTTGCCATGGCAACCAGGGCCAAATCCCACCCTGTTCACATCCTGTGAGGAGATTCAAAATGGTTGGGGGGCTCTGCACATTGATGGGCTTTTAACTCACCCCGCTCCATAGAGATGGGGGGAGTGTCGGGGAGTTGGGTGATGGGGGAAAAGAAGAATGGAAGAGATTTTTGTTTTCCTCCCCCATCTGGCTCTCCTCTGCCCCAGCCAAGGAGATGGGAGAGGTCTTCAGAGGGGAATTAGCACAGACACCCCCTCCACTTCACACACGCTGTCAACAGTTGTCTTTCGTCTTCATGTCTGGAGCCCATTTCTTCAGTCTCTGAGACTCCCTCCCTCCTGCCCCAGATTCTGCTCTTTCATCTCTGGTCCCACACCTTCCAGACTCTCCTTTTGTTTTTGTTGAATGAGCCCCTCCCCAGGAGGTGTTGGCCTGGAGGGAGAGTTGGGGCCCAAACTCCTCAGAGGGCAGACTTAGAAACTTCACCTCCGTTAAGTCCCTGACTCTCCAACAGCTGTGGGGTCGCATTAGAAACTCCCCACTCCCTCCTCTGTCTGGGACTAGAGGGTGGGTGAGAGGTGGGGCTGGGTAGGACAGGGACCAGGGCAGGGTTAGGAGTGGATGTGTCGGGGAGGGCACCTAACCCCCTTCTTGTACCCCTCCTGGGTTACTAAGCCAAAGACATCTTGTTTTGTGTGTCTGCCTCCTAGTCTAACAAAAAAGGAAGTTTCCCTAAGAGAGGAGAGAAAGGTAGAGGAGGGGCCCAGGGCCCCGGGAGGGAGTCAGCCCACTCTACCCCTGGGCTTCCCTTTTGATGGGGAATTCTGACATCCCCTCTCTTTTTATACCAGAGTTCTTGTCCTTACTGATAGGAGTTTGGGGACAGAGGGGAGAATTTGGGGAAGTGAGGGTGAATGTTTCCTCTTCTGAGGGGTAAGGATTGAAGTGGGGTGGGCCACACCCCAAGACCACCCCTTGGTGGGGGAGCTAGGTTTTCTCCTGAGAGTGCCTTCATTCTGAGGAGCCCCAGTGGGAGCCTCTGGGGAGGGAACTGCATGCCCCACCCAGCCCCCACTCTAAATCCCACATTTACAACCCCTTGCGGAAGAGACTACTGTGAGGGCAGTGGCTGGGTTGATGGTGGTTCTGAACCCAGACCTGGGAATAGACCCCCTTCCCCGAGAACTCCAGTTACCAGGATGCATCTGGGAGGAGTGTTTCCAAGCAGGGTGGTAAGCAG